TATGGTTTTCATATATGTCGTTTAAATTCCAGGTGGTGGCCGGGCGCGGTGGCTCACCCCTGTAATCCCAGCACTTTGGGAGGCCGAGGCGGGCAGATCACAGGATCAAGAGATCGAGACCATCCTGGCCAACATGCTGAAACCCCGTCTCTACTAAAAATACAAAAAATAGCCGGGCGTGGTGGCGCGTGCCTGTAATCCCAGCTACTCGGGAGGCTGAGGCGGAAGAATCGCTTGAACCCAGGAGGCGGAGGTTGCGGTGAGCCGAGATTGCACCACTGCACTCCAGCCTGGCAGCAGAGCAACACTCTGTCTTATAAAAAAAATAATAATAAATAAATTCCAGGTGGTTATTTAATTTACATAGAGCTTTCCATATTTAACTTTTGGAAATTAAAATCTTCAGTTCTCAAAGACCATTGAAGCACATATATAGAAAGGAGAAAAACACCTGGTAAAATTCACTTTTAAGTAAATAGAATTTTTTTCAGTCATGTCTTTTAAATTTTTCATTTGTGAGATATAAAATATTTGCTCTATAATACAAAATCTTGATCTTCAGGGACACAGAACACAAAAATAATTCAAAAGCCGTTGCTACAGGTTAATCACTTGAAACAGAAGCTACAAAATTTGAGTTGGTATCTCAGTTCTTCCCTTTATTAGCTCAATCACAGTGTGCAATCACAGGTAAAATGGGATTGATGAGTTTTGTTTATAATATCATTCTAAGGATTAAACAAAATTATGAATTAAAAAGTGCTTTGTAAGCTACAGGGCATTAAGCAAATTAAAAAGTTTAAATAAGAATTTTATCGAAGTGAACTATGATTTATGCAAGACATTTTTATCATCGACTTTTGTATCTAAGCCTAGTACCACTTTGGAATCATCGATTTAACCAACAGGAAGTAAAGAATCCTTCTGGTCACCTCTGACAGATTAACAACCTGGAAAAAAATGACCTACACTTTGAGCTATGTTAGGGGGACAGTGTAATCACTAGGACAATTCTTAACACAAAGAGAGTGGGAACGTGAGTCTGAAGGGGGAAATAATATCAAAGGTCCTGTTTATCAAGAGCGAAACTTTGAAATCCACCTATTTAAGATTAATCACTATTCTTTCAGTTAAGCGGTTGTCATCCCTAACTTCCCCTGAGTAGAAAATAATCTACACTTCCAACTAAGTTATTCATGGTCCAATTTGTTCTCAGAATACTATAATAGGCTTTGTGAAGATAAGTTTTATAATAGGGATTTAACGTAGTGAGAAGCCAAGACACAGAGGCCTTCAAACACAGAGTATATATATATATATACATATACTAATTGCTCCATCCTTCCCCCTCTTCTTCTACTCACTCCATTCCCTCTCCCAAAAGGATATTCACCCCTACTTAAAAATCTAATTTTTACAAAGCATTCAGATGAAATGGCATCTCAACAACTTCACAGCACAATTGGTTTAGCCACTGCAGCGTTGCTTTTGAAGCCATTTTCAACAGAGCTGAGAAAAGGGGAGAACTCTGAGTAAAGCACTGGGAGAAGAAATGCTGTGAATGGCTTTAAGAAAGAGAAACATAATCTTTCCTCGTGACAGTTCATCTTCCTGATGGCCACATTTACATACTGAGTTCACAGGCTAGAACTCTCAAAGAGAACTCTACTTTCCTAGAGAATATAAAACATTCAGCGTGGCATCCTTGGAGGGAGGGAGGTGTAGGAAGGAAAAGGGAATAACCACTGATGGTTTATATGTATCATATTTATTTTCTAGGTTTCTGATATCTTAAACTGTTGAAAATACATAAAGTTATTCAGAGACTTCTTTTTGTTTTATTCCTCTTTAGCTCTATAAGATGTAACTCTCTATATTTTTCTCTCATTTTTATTCAAATGAGTGCATTGGCTTCTTGTTTTACAAAGTAAAAACCTTGAATGCAACAAGTTTATCTTTATTCCAGACTGTAGGTTGCTGTTTTTTTTTTTTTAAAGTTCCTTATTCTTCCATTTTAAAAACATACATGCAAAATTTTAGTATTTAAAATATTAGAAACTCTTCACCTGTGAATGCGTTTTAATAACTAGCTTGCCTCTTCTGAGCATATTACATTCCTGCTATACCTCTTTTGTAGCAAACATGCCTATCTTATTTAAATATATGTAATAAAGTATGCAAGAAGATAAACATATGTGACCTATTTATATTCAAAACTGGCTGGAAAACTACAGATCACAGGAATTCTGTAACAGACACACATTATAAACTTCTTTTGATAAATACTTTTTAAAATTGTTTTTTAATGTGCTCTTAATGACTTCTAGCACTCACACCTTCTTACTTGCTTTCCAAACTGTTTATACTGTCCCCAATAACACTCAGTGGAAAGCTGTCACTCCTGGCTAAATCCTTACTTAGGGTGGATGCTATGCCTCCGTGAGACAGGGTCAGGGGGTCAAAATCGATTTTGGAGGCCACCTGGAGAGTCCAGGCCATGAACTGACTCGAAAAATTTATATCAGAGCCAGAATGGTCCACCTCCCAGGGTCAGATCTGGCCTGACACTCCAACCGCAGGCTGGGGCATGCTAGACCGCGCTCAGAGGCCAGGGTTGCTGGCCCTGCTAGCTGACCTCTTCAAACTTCAGGAGAATTTTTTTGGCAGTTACCACGGTGACTGGGTACTCTAAAAGCTTATCCCTCTTACTGAATGGAGGGAAAAAAATTAGGAAAAAAATATGTTAAAACCTACCTTGCAGAGATGCCTATCATGGTTAAAGTTTAAAAAAAAAAAAAAAAAAAAAGGTTGGGGGCGGTGGGAAGGGAGGTTACGGCCCTAAATTGTCTATGCCTTTGGTATTAATTACTACTGCTTTCCAAAAAAGAAAAAAAAGCAATTAGAACTTACAAGTCTTTCAAACTGCAAAATTTGACATTTGGAGCAGATACTGCTTTGCTTCTTTTTTCTTCTCCCCTTTCTTGCTCAGTAGCTGGCAACAATATGAACAATGCATTCAAGGAGTTTTTAAAACAACGCAATTTACTTGGAAATTCTAATATCTCCCCTTTTCTTTGAGAATAACCAACTTTGAAATAAGAACCATCATAAATGCTAGTCTGTCGGAGAGAAGATGCTGTAAGTCATCATTTTTGCCTCAAAATCATGTTCAAGATTTTTTTTTCCTGAAAGAAAAGTGTCCAGTTTTGCTTGACTTGAAATAATTAAATTAGGAGAAAAGCAAGGGGCCATTATTATATATTTTATCTTTTACCAAATGACTTAATAAAAATAATGTATATGTTAAAAACAACTGAAAATACTCTACATATAACAAGGGAACACTAGGAAGAAAAAAAAATACTATGTATACTTCATTTTAAAGAACATCCAAGCTAAAAAAAAAGCCATGGAATATTCTTCTATGTTAATACCAAATGTTGTCTTGTCCTAAAGTCTCACAACAATAGAAATACTTGCAGATAAAAATTTTAATTCCCCATGGGGTAAACCTATGCACATTATAAAGCTCGATTAGTTGGTTTTTGTTGATAGGTTGTAACACAAAATGCTTTAAAATGGCTCCTATGTGTGACTTGAAATTGGATGAGAATCATAATAATTTAGAAATATACTATACTTTAAGAATACTTGTCTTTAAAAATATCTGAGTACTACACAATGACTTTTTATAAACTGAAATCACTGACTTTTACTGTCATTGCTCTCTATCTCTTACTTCATTTTCTCATCTGCTATGTACATGATCCAGGCCCTGAAAGTCTTGAAAGGACCTCCTCTGCCATTTGGGTGCTGGCTCTGTGTGTGTGTGTGTCTGTGTGTATGTGTGTGTGTCTGTGTGTGTGTGCACAAATAATGAAGCACTGGTGAAGCAGGGTAGATTTGCATTTTAGAAAGCAGTGGCTATATAACAAAACAATGTCTTTGATTCAAATATCATTTTTCATCTTGACTCTAAGCCAAGAAAAAATGAGAAATTACAGAAATATAGTAATTGGCACTTCAAAAGTGAATACTAAAATTTCAGAGGAATGTTTTAACCTCATCTTAAATGTTGATTTTACTATGACCTATGTTGACTGTTTCGTAATAATCATTAAGTTCCTACAAAGGAATGAACATAAAACCAAGTATATATTAATTAGTCTTAATTTTTAAAAACCAAATGTAATTCAGGAACCATTTCCTTTCTCCTCTTGTGCTCAAAACAGCCACTGAAAGGCAAGGTCAGAAGCAGTTTGAGCTGATCTTGCCGTGCAATCCAATTACACTTTGCTGAAACACAGTTCTTTCAATCAGATAGCGTGGTTCTTGACATGCTGAAGTGGGCAACCAGGTTGGTGAGTCACTTAAACTGTGGTGCCAGCTCACTGTCTATGATGAATTCGAACTGTCCTTCCCAGCCGGGAACCCCTGGCAAGCTTCCTTAAAGACCCAGTGACTGGCAAAGCATGAGGCACTATCACACAGAAAACGAGGTCCTCCTCGGGTTTGGAAAACAGATGATAGAAGTCTTGGAATGATGCAAGCCAGGTCACAATCTCCTGAACCACGAGCCTTATCTTGAATGAAACATGATTTCTGAGTTGGATCTGAAAAGGAAAAAAAGTTAAAGTATAAGGCAACGGCTCATTTCTACAAAAGAACACAATGCCAAGTCTTGTAGCGTGGTTTCCTCCAGTCCAATTCAGAATCTCTCCCACAGAAGACCAAAAATCATCTTTCAGTCCTTTGCATAAACTTTACTAAAAGGACTATGAAATAAATAGGTATTTTATTCAGAAACACATAGATCTGGATCTTGTCTCAGATTGAAAATTTGCAGATATGTTACAAAAGTACAGAATGTGGGGGCTGAGGAACTACGAGATTATCTAGTCTTATGTTTTTACTTTACATATGCAAAATCTGAAGCCTAGAAGCATGAACTGCCTTACGTACAAAATATTCATTAGATGCCTTAAACTAGAACCTAGGTCCTGGTTGGCATTTTTTTCTTCTTCCTTTTTCTTTTTGAGTCGAAGTTTCCCTCTTGTTGCCCAGGCTGGAGTGCAATGGCGTAATCTCATCTCACTGCAACCTCCACCTCCTGGGCTCAAGTGATTCTCCTGCCTCAGCCTCCCGAGTAGCTGGGAGTACAGGCATGCGCCACCACACCTAATTTTGTATTTTTAGTAGAGACGGGGTTTCTCCATGTTGGTCAGGCTGGTCTCGAACTTCCGACCTCAGGTGATCCGCCAGCCTCAGCCTCCCAAAGTGTTGGGCTTACAGGTGTTAGCCACCAGGCCCAGCCCTGGTTGCCATTTCTAACCTAGTATCTTCTCTACTACAAAATGTAGCCTTTTCATGAGGGTGGGAAATATTAAAAGCCCATACTCGTAGACATATTCAAAGTCTTAGAGTAATTCTGGGGCAAGGATATGAAATGATTGCAAATGATTCCAGTTTCACTTCCAGGAAACAGCTTTAGGCACCACAAGCAGAAATTCCACAAAGTCATGCAGTGAAACTGTAAAATAACCTGTGCTATTGGAAGCTCCCCATTTCTCAGGAACTTATGTCTTGTGGTAACAAGGGCGTGTTGCGAATACGATTTCTCCAGCGAATTGTTTTCATTGGTTTGTTGTGGTTATTAAGCACTGACTTCTTTCTGTAAGTATGGAGTCGCACCATTCTGCCAAGTTTGTAACTAAGTACCAGGAAGTGGGGCTTTGGTGTAGATCTGCCTCTGCTACCAAATGACCATGAGCCTCGTAAGAGAGCAGGGCTACCAGTCCCGGAAGGGCTAGATCAGGTTTGTCTTTAACATTGTTCTAATTTACTTCGGGTTTAACTTGTATCTGTTAGGATCAATAGATTCTAAAAATGAAGTAAAACAACAACAAACAAAAAGACTGTATAAAAATTTGCAATTAATTGCTGATACCCCAAACTGCCACTTGTCTGCTGCATTCGGCTGTAATAGTACTTTTTTTTTTTTTTTTTTTT